TTTTTAAATCTTTTTATTTTTCAGTTAGATAGTTGACATACCATATTGTGTTAGTTTCAGGTGTATACCCAGTGATTAGACATTACATAATTTACTAACTGGTCATCCTGATAAATCTCCTACCCATCTGACACCATACATAGTTATTAGAATATTAGCGATTATATTTCCTATCTGTACTTTACATCCCTATGACTACTCTGTAACAACCAATTGATACTTCTAAATCCCTTCACCTTTTTCACCCATCCCGCCAACCTCCCTCCCATCTGGCAACTGTCAAACTCTGTATCTATGAGTTTGTTACTATACTGCTTGTTCATTTACCTTTCTTTTAGATTCAGTTGTTGATAGATATGTATTTATTGCCTACAATATTTGTTCATATGCTTTATCTTTTTTCCTCTTAAATAAGATTCTTTAACATTTCATAATACCATAATACCGGTTTGGTGGTGATGAACTCCTTTAGCTTTTCCTTGTCTGGAAAGCTCTTTATCTGTCCTTTGTTTCTTTTTTCTTTTTAAGCATATTTTATTGATGAGGCTATTATAGTCGTCCCATTTTTTCCCCTTAGCCCCCCTCCACCCAGTACCCCCATTCCCTCCAGCAGTCCGCCTCTTAATTCCTGTCTGTGGGTCATACATATAAGTTCTTTGACTTCTCCATTTCCTATACTATTCTTAACCTCCCCCTGTCTGTTTTGTGCCTACCAATTATGCTTCTTATTCCCTGTACCTTTTCCCCAATTCTACCCCTTCCCTGCTGATTACCCTCCACTTGATCTCCATTTCTATGATTCTGTTCCTGTTCTAGTTGTGTGCTTAGTTTGTTTTTGTATTTTTGCTGTTGATAGTTGTGACTTTGTTTTGTTTTTACTGTGCATAGTTTTGATTGTCTTCTTTTTCTTAGATAAATCCCTTTAACGTTTCATATAATAAAGGCTTGGTGTTGATGAACTCCTTTAGCTTTACCTTATCTGTGAAGCACTTCGTCTTCCCTTCTATTCTAAATGATAATTTTGCTGGATAGAGTAATCTTGGATGTAGGTCCTTGCTTTTCATCACTTTCAATACTTCTTGTCAATCCCTTCTTGCCTGTAAGGTTTCTTTTGAGAAATCAGGTGACAGTCTTATGGGAACTCCTTTGTAGGCAACTCTCTGCTTTTCTCATGATGCTTGTAATATTTTCTCTCTTTCTTTTTAACCTTTGGAATTTTAATTATCATGTGTCTTGGTGTGGCCCTCTTTGGGTCCAACTTGTTTGGAACTTTCTGTGCTTCCTGGACTTGTGTGTCTATTTTTTTTGTAAATTGGGGAAGTTTTCTTTCATTATCTTTTCAAGTAAGTTTTCAATTTCTTCCTCTTCCTCTTGTCCTTCTGGCACCCCTATGAATTGAATGTTAGTACGTTTAAAGTTGTCCCAAAGGTTCCTAAACCTTTTTTTTTTTTTTTGATTCTTGTTTCTTTCTGTTCTAGATGAATGTTTATTTCTTCCTTTTATTTCAAATCATTGATTTGAATCCAGGCTTCCTTCCCTTCACTGTTGGTTCCCTGTATGTGTGTGTGTATATATATATATATATATATTTTTTTAAGGACTTTTTAAAAAAAGATTTTATGTGTTTATTTTTAGAGAGAGAGGAAGGGAGGGAGGAGAGAAACATCAATGCGTAGTTGCCTCTTGTGTGCTCCCTACTGGGGACCTGGCTTGCAATCCAGGCATGTGCCCTGACTGAGAATCGAACTGGTGATTCTTTGTTTCACACACCAGCACTCAGTCCACTGAGCCACGCCAATCAGGGCTGTATATTTTTCTGTATTTCACTTTGCATAACCTTCACTTCGCATAGCCTTCACTTCTTCCTTTATTTTGTGGCCATAGTCAATCATTTCTTTGAGCATCCTGATCCCCAGTGTTTTGAAATCTGCATCTGATTGGCTGTTTCCATGTTGCTTAGTTCTCCTTCTGGAGTTTTGATCTGTTCTTTCATTTGGGCCATATTTCTTTGTTTTCTCAATATGGCAGCCTCCCTGTGTTTCTGTGTATTATGTAGAGCTGCTTTGGCTCCCTGTTTGGCACACCTGTTATGTTGTAAGGGGCAGAGCCTTAGGAATTTGCCAGGATGGGACAACTCACTTCAAAGCTTTTTGGGGCTGTATGTGGGGGAGGGGTCAGAGAGGGAAGAATGCCACTTAGTCAGCTGTCTATTTCCAGTCATTTCCCCCACTTCCCATAAGCAACTGGCACCCTTCTAGTTGCTACCTTGGTGCTGATTCCTAGAGTGGGTGGGTTTGCATGGGTTTGAATATGTTCTGAGAGATGAGCAGTTTCTTCTTCTGCCCCACCCTCTTCTGGTTTTTACAGGCAGAGTTATGAGGCTTTAATTTCCCAGCGCTGGCACTCTGGGCTGCACTGTCTGGCTTGGAGCTGGGATTGCTGCCTCTCCAGTTGTCCCTCCCAGCTTTTATCTGCAGCCGTGAATCTGGGACCCTTGTTCTGCCAGCTGCTGCTTCCTCATCACACCACACCACATCATCTCCACTCTGGCTCCCTGTCTCTGGCCCTCCTACAGATCTGGATGTTTCTTCTTTAAATCCTTGGTTGTTGGACTTCTATACGGTTTGATCTGGCAGTTCTGGTTGTTTTTGTTTTTAGGTTAGGACACTCCTCGCACAATTGTAAGGATGACAACTAACCTAAAAACAAAAACAAAGTGTCTGCCTATGCCTCCATCTTGGCTGTGTCCTTTGATTCTAAATGATAGCTTTGCTGGATAGAGTAATCTTGGTTGTAGGTTCTTGCTCTCCATCACTTTGAAGTTTTTAGTTACTTGCTTGGAAGTAACTAAATGCTTTTCTCTTGCTGCTTTTAAGATTCCCTCTTTGTCTTTAACCTTTGCATTTTAATTATGATTCATCTTTGTGTTGGCTTCTTTGGGTTCATCTTGTTTGGGACTCTCTGCACTTCCTGGATTTGTATGTCTATTTCCTTGATCACGTTAGGTAAGTTTTCTATCTTTTTTTTCTTTTCCATGTAGGTTTTCAATTCCTTGCTCTTTCTCTTCTCCTTCTGCCACCCCCGTGATGCAAATGTTGGTACGCCTGAAGTTGTCCCAGAGGTTCCCTACACTGTCCTCATTTTTTAAAAAGATTTTATTTACTTAATTTTAGAGAGAGGGAAAGGGACGGAGAAATAGAGGGAGAGAAACATCAATGTGTAGTTGCCTCTTGCGCGCCCTCCGCTGGGTCCTGGCCCACAATCCATGCATATGCCCTGACCAGGAATTGAACCAGCAACCCCTTGGTTCATAGGCTGGCCCTCAATCCACTTGAGCCATCCCAGCCAGGGCCTCTTGGTTTTGTTTTTGTTTTTGTTTTTTTTTGGATTCTCTTTTCTTTTTGCTGTACTGATTGGGTGTTTTTAGCTTCCTTATATTCCAAATTGGTAATTTGATTCTTGGCTTCATCTAATCTACAGTTGATTACTTGTAAATTATTCTTCATTTCAGTTAGTGTATCCTTCATCTCTGACTGGTTCTTTTCTATGGTTTACATGTCCTGTCTCAAGCTGTTAGTATTCTCACAAAATTCATTAGAGTCCTTATAACCAGTGTTTTGAACTCTGCATTTAGTAGCATGCTTGTCTTCATTTTTGTTTTTTCTGGAGTTTTGTTCTGTTCTTTCATTTGGGCCATGTTTCTTTGTCTCCTCATTTTGGCAGCCTCCCTGGTTTTGTTTGTTTGTTTGTTTGTTTTTTGTTTTTGTATTAGGTAGAGCTGCTGTATCTCCTGGGCTTGGTAGAATGGCCTAATGTAGTAGATGCCCTGTAGGGTCCAGTGGCACAATCTTCCCATTCAGCTGAGCTGGGTACGCCAGGTGTGCCCCCCATGTGGATTCGACTGCAAGGACTTGCTGTGACCACTGACCATCGTGGAGGATCAGCTGTACAGGAGCCCACCCCCAGAGCAGGACTCGTGTCAGTATGGCTCTGGTGTCCTCTCAGTCTGTCCCTTGAACGTGTTCTTGTGGAGGTGGTTGGGGGACCTCTGCAGCTGAGATATTCCTCTCAATTTTAAATGGCCACACATGGATATGAGACAAGCTCATTCCATATCTCTGCCCCTCATACCAATCTTGATGTGGCTTCTTTAAATCCCTAGTTGTAGGACTTCCATTCAGTCAGATTTCTGGTGGTTCTGAAAGATGGTTCTGTAGTTTAGTTGTAATTTTTATGTGGTTGTAGGAGGATGTAAGTACCGCATGGACTATGGTTTTATTTTTTACTAATTTCCTTGGAAAACCCTGAGTTACAGTAGCAGTTATTTATAATTGTTTGTTGCTCTTAATGACTCACAAGGTGCTGTTTATTATATTAAAACCTATATTGTCAACTTTGTCAAGAATACTAAGATTTCCCTTTTTCTACTGAGATCCCAGTAGTCTGTATTCTTGTATAAGGGAGATATATGTGTATATTCCATTTTGTGGTTTGAAAGATAAGATTAAAAGATGGCTTAAAAGATAAAATTCAAAGGAAAATGCAGCTCTAAAGCAGAAGTAAAATTTTCTGATTTACCAGGAATAACAACAGTGTTTCATAATCAGGTGTTCTCATTTGTTTTAAATATACTTATGTGGAAGGAGAACTTTCTATATCTAGGTTGATTATTCTCTGAAATGAATATGAATCCTCATTAAAGGTGTGTGTGTGGGGGAATTGGTGCATGGGTAAGGAAATCAAACACAGGTCCATTGCTACCCTAATGAGTTGTATCAGGCATTGTTTAACTTACTCTTCATGAGTATTATGGTGAAATTATCAACCACAAATTGTTTAGATCCCAATTATAGAAGTCACAGAATATGGTAGGCAAAAACTCATTGAGCTCAGCAGGTTCAGATCCTTTCCTTTTCCTTTCCTTTTGTATGCTGGGAGGTGGTTTGTGCTTATGCTTTCTCTTCCTTACCTGTCATGTGTTTATGTCATTTGCTTCCCAGGGGGCCAGTCTTTCTTCAGCAGGAAGGACTCCATTCGCACCATCTATACTTCCCTGCATAATGAGCTGAAGAAGGTGGTGACTGGCCGTGGTGCCCTGGGTGGGAATGCTCCTCACGTGGAAGAACTCCTTTCCCACCTGTCAGAGCAGCTCTGCTTCTTCGTTCAGGCTCGGATGGAGATCGCAGACTTCTATGAGAAGATGTATACCCTCAGCACACAGAAGTTCATCAATGCTGAAGAGCTCGTTGGCCTCTTGGACACCATCCTCAAGAAATACAGCTCTAGGTTAGTGTAGGTGAGGAGGAAGGAGGGAGGGATAGGATGTGGCAGCCTCTCAGTCCCCCACAGAGCCTAAGTTTTCCCCATACTCTTACAAAAATTTGTGATGAAAAAACAAAGGGGAACAGCTGTGTTACATTTTGGACATATTAATTAATCAGTAGGTATACATTAGGCTTCATTGGGCTAGTTAACACCATCCACTATAGATACTTACCTAAATAATAGTGCAAGAGCACTAATGAAATAAGCCTTAAAAGATGTATTATAACTGATTTAGGTGCTTATGAAAGAGTTCATACAACAAGAGAATTGTATATAAAATAATGTGACTTTTTAACAAACCGCTATTCAATTAAATGCCCCTTTAAAGTAATCACCTTGTTGAGTTGCCCACTTACTCCTCATGTACCAGTTATTTACACGTTTTAGAAACTCCTGTACAATTGCTTTCAGTGCCTATGGCCTCATTTTGGCTTTGTTTTAAATTTCATTGTAGTGGATGATGGTGTCTGTGCTTCTGAGCAAGGCATATTTAAAGGTTTGTTGTTTGGTTTTTTTTTGATAGTCAAAAAGTTATTTGTAACCAATTTAATTTTTTTAGAAAAGATATTCATTGACTAAAAAACTTGTATTTGAAGGAAATTGCTCCTTATAAAGAAATGAGACTAATTATAAGGTATTGCTCACTGCCTGACCCAAAAAGCAATACCAAAGGAATTTGAGAAGCATTGTGAACATCACTGACATGAATAACCCAGCTTTATTTTGGGGTCCATGGAGCCTGGCCTACTGTCTCGCACATAGTAGGCACTGAGTATTTTTATGATGGACTAAGTGGAAAGTGATTACTTTGAATGATACCACTCTTTTGGATATATGAGTTTGTATGTGTTTCCTTAAAAGAGAAAGGTATATATGTTAATTTATATTCCCAAATGAAGGATAATACTCATCTGACCAATGGACTGGGGAAAGGATGCAAAGTGGTGGGGGAATAAAGAAGACTTCATGGTGGAGGTAGAGTCAGAGATGACTTTTAAGGGCAGGCAGGGTTTGGAAAGCAAAGGTAAGAAAAAAGGGAGCAGATGCTTTGAGACAAGAAGGTGATTTCAGAATAATGGAAAACCTCAGAGGTTTGGTACCTGCTGGGCTCTCTTCCTGAAACAATCTTGAGCTAGCTATCTACTCATCATGTAAGTCTCAGGTCAAATGTCAGAGAAGCCTTCTCTCCTTATCCTAACCTTAGTTACTCTTCTATTCCCCTGGTTAATTTTTTTTCACATTCCTTATTACCATCTGAAATTACTGTTATTTGCTGAGGGTGTTTTTTCTTTTCTCACAACTAGAATGTAAACTCCATGGCCCATAGTGGGTGCTCAGTATCTGTTTATTGAATAAAAAAGTGAATACTCAGTATAAAACGGGGCATCATGAAATGTTTTTGAAGACTGAAATGTTGTGTTCTCATCTTTATCTGAGACTGATTACTATGGCACTGGTGTGGGGATGGGACGGGACAGTGAAGGGAGTGGTTAAGGGAGGGAAGGTGAGTTTCGTAGGCTAGTGTTGTAATCTGATCAGTATAGTAGGGCTTAGTTGTTGCCAGACAGTGGAAAAAGATGAGGACAAGAAGTCTCTAAGTCTTGGCAACAGGTTGGTGGGAACAATGAGAAGTTTCTGTCAAAAGCGATTCAGAGGTTTTGCATTTCCAATGATAATATCATTTACAGCATTGAGAAGTCAAGAGAGTGTGGCTTAGAAGAAAGGCAGCAAGGAAAATTTGGAGCAAGTTGAGCTTAAGTTGCTAGCAGATTTTTAAATGGAGATTCAGTAGGCTGTTGGAAATGGGTATTTACAGTTCAGATGAAAAGGCAGAGAGAAAACAATTGGAGGTCATCTGTATAGAGAAGTAAACTTACCTTGTTTTTTTGCTTTCAAAACTAACATCAAGGTTCCTGTAATACAGAAGCAATTGATTTTTAAGCTTGCAGGAGAAAGGGGGAAGTGTTTATATATATATTACATATATATAGCTACTTTGAAGGAAACCAGCACATGTTGAACAACTACTGTATGCCAGACACTGCATAAGACCCTCATATGATATCTGCTTTGAAGTGTAGGTACAGATAGTTCTCCTTTAAGGAGTCACAGAGAAGTTAAGCATACCCAGGGTCATAAAATTTATGTTTGAACCCACTTCTCTGTGACTCCAAAGCTCATATTCTATATGCATTATTGCTGTATCATATAGTAAGATACTTTCTATCCAGTCCAGATAAATAATTTATCTCTGTTGATCATTTTGCAAGTCAATAAATAAGATCGATTTTTATTTATTAAATAAATAATAAGACTAAGTAAGATTATGAAGTAATAGTTTTCTGTCACAATAAGATGGAAAACATTGCAAGCACTTTCTGTATTCCTCTGCAAGGAATAAGAGTTGTGTGCTGCATAAAATCATGAAATGTACATATTCTGAGCACAAGATAGTTTGGTTAATATATTATTATATCCTTTTTTATAAAGTTTTTTCCTAAATTTTTTATTTTGAAACTTTTTTATCCTCATCTGAAGTCATGCTTATTGATTTTAGCAGCGGGGGAGGGGGAAAAAGAGGGAGAGAAACATCGATCAGCTGCCTCTTGCACATGGCCTGAATGGGTAAGAAACTATAACCCAGGCATGTGCCCTGACCAGGAATTGAACCCTTGACATTTCAGTTTATGGGATGATGCTCCAACCAACTGAACCACACCAGCCAGGGCTATACTGAAATTTTGAATCCCACAGAAAAGTTGCAAGAATAATATAATATACATAGAGTTACAGTATGACCAGTAATTCCGCTGCTGGGTGTATGCCCAAAGAAAAATACAAAATGAAAACGTGTCTATACTTGAAAACTTTTATGTGAATGTTCATAGTAGCATTATTGGTGGAAACACCCCAAATGTCCATCAACTGATGGATGAATGGATAAATAAATGTGGTATATTCATACAGTAGAGTATTATTCAACAGAAAAAGGAATGAAGTAATGAAACATGCCACAACATGGATGAACTTATAAAATTATGCTATATGAAGGAAGCTAGTTACAAAAGATCACATACTCTAGCATTCCATTTATATGAAATATCCAAAATAGGCAAAGTCATAGACCCAGAAAGTAGATTACAAATTCATAGACACAGAAAATAGTTGCCAGGGGTTGGAGGGTAGATGGTTACTTTATGGGATTCATAAGACTGTTCTAAAATTAGAAAGTGATGATGTTTATACAACTCTGAATATATTAAAACCATTGGATTTTATACTTTAAAAGAGTGTATGTTACATGTTTGAATTATATAGCAGTAAAACTGTTACTTAAAAGAATTGTACAATGAACACATATCCTTTATCTAGATTCACTATTAAAATTTTTGCTGCACTTTATCTCTCTGTATATAATTTTATTTTCCTGAGTATTTTGGAAGTCAAATGGAAACAATGATGTTTCACTTGTAAATACTCAGGTTGTACCTCCTAAGAACCACACAAAACTGTAATATAGTTTCCACATAGAAAATTTAACACAGATTTCTACCGTCATCTAATATATAGTCAATATTCAGATTTCATCAGTTGTCCCAAAAATGTCTGGTATAGTTGTTATTTTTATTGTCCTGTATTTTTGATCTTATTATATATGAGGTCTGCCCAGAAGGTATCCAGCCATGTAATATGAAAAATAGAGACTTTTATTGAAGAAGATTCAAGATACAAGAAACATTGTACATAGGACAATGAGACCTCATTCCAAGTAGGCACCTTGGGACCTCACACAGGTTCTCCCAAATTGCCTTCAGCTGCCCCATTGTATTTTCCTGAATCTCATGAACAGTCTGAAATCTCTTCTCTTTCAAAGGTGACTTTAGCTTTGGGAAGAGCTGGAAGTCACAGAGTGCCAGATCTGGACTGTAGGTGGCAGAGTCACCTGGGTGATGTGATGTTTTGCCAAAAATCTCTGCATGAGATGCGATGCATGAGCAGGTGCATTGTCATGATGAGGCTGCCAGTCACCAGTTGCCCACAGCTGTGGCCTTTTGAATCATCTGAATAGTTTCTACAGAGGAATGTTCAAGCTTAACGCAAAATGTGCTGCAGATCTTTTGCCCCAGTCCCTCAGTCATTTCAAATGTGAGGGCTACACAGTACACGTGCTCCCTCAATGGTGTGTGCTGCCTCCAGTGACTAGTACAGTGAAGTCATCATTGTTCACACATGCACATTTAGTCCACTCTCCTTGGCTGCCATGTTACATGATGTTGCACAAACCATTTTCATAATGTTAACAATGGCTGGACTTTTTCTGGACAGACCTTGTATTCTAAATTTTCTTTTTATCTATCTTCAATAGGTGATACATTAACATGACTGAAAATTTATAAAGTACAAAAATAATACATAGTGAAAAGTCTGCCTGCTGCCCCTATCCTGTAGCTACTTAATTCTCTTCCTATGAAGCAATGAATGCTAGCAAGTTCTTCCTGTCATGCCCAAGAGATACAAATACATATATACATTTTATTTTTTAAACATATATTACATGTAGAAATTTTCTGTTTATAAATATATTTCTTTCTAAAATCTGATTAGTATAAATATATTTTTAATAAAGTAATTGTTTGAAAACCAAAAACTAAAGTACAGTTGGAGACATGATTCTCAAGGGGAAGAGATCTCATATGGTGACTGCTAAATGTGAAAGTGGTTTGCTCAGCCATCTTGGAAGCTTAAGAAAATACGCATACCTGGACCCATCCTCTTTTTCTTTTTTACTTTTTTTTTAATTGTTCAAATACATTTACTCCTTTTTCCCGCTACCACTTTCCCCTGCCTTACCCACCCCCACCTCCCACCCTCAATCCTTCCCCATTTTGGCTCTGTCCGTGGGTCCTTCATACATGTTCCTTGATTTGACCCTTCCCCTTCTTTTCCCTGTTACCCTCCTC